CACGTTCAAGTGAATTTATATCCATTCTATAATATGGCGACCAAAACTGAACTGCATAATCTAAATGGGGCCTAACTAGAGCAAGATATAGCTTGAGAACCAAACCTGGTGTCTTGTTACTAACGCTGCGATTAATAAATCCAAGTGTCCAATTTGCCTTATTACGAACATTTATGCATTGATCCTTTTGTTTTAAATTCTTACTAATCATAACTCCCAGATCCCTTTCGCAATCCGACTTCGCAATCTCAACACCATCTAGCTCGTATCTTAAGAACATAAGAACATAAGAACAAAGGTAACTGCAGAAGGCCTATTGGCCCATACGAGGCAGCTCCTATTCTATAACCACCCAATCCCACTCATATACTTGTCCAACCCGCGCTTGAAACAATCGAGGGACCCCACCTCCACAATGTTACGCGGCAATTGGTTCCACAAATCAACAACCCTGTTACTGAACCAGTATTTACCCAAGTCTTTCCTAAATCTAAACTTATCCAATTTATATCCATTGTTTCGTGTTCTGTCCTGTGTTGATACTTTTAATACCCTATTAATATCCCCCCCGGTTATGTCCATTCATCCACTTGTAAACCTCTATCATGTCACCCCTAACTCTTCGCCTTTCCAGTGAATGCAACTTAAGCTTTGTTAATCTTTCTTCATATGAAAGATTTCTAATTTGGGGAATTAACTTAGTCATCCTACGCTGGACACGTTCAAGTGAATTTATATCCATTCTATAATATGGCGACCAAAACTGACCTGCATAATCTAAATGGGGCCTAACTAGAGCAAGATATAGCTTGAGAACCACACCAGGTGTCTTGTTACTAACGCTGCGATTAATAAATCCAAGTGTCCGATTTGCCTTATTACGAACATTTATGCATTGATCCTTTTGTTTTAAATTCTTACTAATCATAACTCCCAGATCCCTTTCGCAATCCGACTTCGCAATCACAACACCATCTAGCTCGTATCTTGTAACTCTATCATCATTACCTAACCTCAGAACTTTACATTTATCAGCATTAAACTGCATCTGCCAATCCTTTGACCATTTCAAAACCCTATCTAGATCAACTTGAAGTGATAGTGAGTCCTCCTCCGAATTAATTTCCCTACCGATTTTCGTATCATCGGCAAATTTGCAAATGTTGCTACTCAAACCTGAATCTAAATCATTTATATATATTATAAACAACAGAGGTCCCAGGACAGAGCCTTGAGGCACTCCACTTACAACATTTTCCCACTCTGACTTGATTCCATTTATACTAACTCTCTGTTTCCTTTGGTATAGCCATGCCCTAATCCAGCTTAATATAGCACCCCCAATACCATGAGACTCTATCTTTTTAATCAGTCTTTCATGTGGCACTGTATCAAAAGCTTTGCTAAAGTCAAGGTATACAACATCGCAATCCTTACCACTATCAACTGCCTCAACAATGCTAGAATAAAAAGATAACAAATTTGTTAAACATGAACGGCCATTTATAAAACCATGTTGCGACTCAATTATTAATTTATGTTTTTCAAGATGAAGACGAATTTTATTTGCTATTATAGATTCGAGTAACTTTCCCACAATAGACGTTAGGCTAATTGGTCGATAGTTAGACGCAAGTGATCTATCTCCTTTCTTAAAAACTGGTATCACATTAGCAACTTTCCAAAACTCTGGCACTCTGCCTGACTCTATTGATTTATTAAATATGGTTGACAGTGGGTCACAAAGCTCCTCTTTGCATTCTTTAAGCACCCTGGCAAACACTTCATCCGGCCCTGGGGTTTTGTTTGGTTTGAGTTTTACTATTTGTTTAAGAACATCCTCCCTGGTAACTGCTAAACTCGTCAACCTGTCCTCGTCCCCACCCACATAGACTTGTTCGGCTGAAGGCATATTGTTAAGTTCCTCTTTAGTAAATACAGATACAAAATATTTATTAAAAATACTACTCATCTCTTCATCACTATCTGTTATTTGACCTATATCTTGTAACGTCATATGTATATTTGACATATCTTGTAACTATTATCATTACCTAACCTCAGAACTTTACATTTATCAGCATTAAACTGCATCTGCCAATCCTTTGATCATTTCAAAACCCTATCTTGATCAACTTGAAGTGATAGTGAGTCCTCCGATTTTCCTCCATATAATGTTGTAAGTTTTTTGATAATCCTTGTTTCAGTGCTGAGGTGATGTCGTTCAGTGCTGTTGGTGATGACCAACGTCGTCTATGCCTTCAAATGTCCACTTGGGGACTGTAAGCTCCAAAAAACCCAGTATATAGGCAAGACAACAACATCTCTTTCTAGGCGTTTAACGATGCATAAACAACAGGGCTCCATTAAGGAACATATAATCTCTTCCCACAACCAAACCATCGCCAGAGAAATCCTAGTAAACAACACAGAAATCATCGATAGATACAGCGATAGCAGGCGGCTTGACGTTTGCGAGGCACTACACATTAAGAAGTCAACACCAGCAATCAACAGCCAATTAATGTACAACTATATTCTACCCACCTCAAGACTCCGCTCCAATATAGAAGCATCAAGAAATATGGACCAATAGGCTTTCTACAATCACTTCCATTTCAATACCCATTGTTTCGTGTTCTGTCTTGTGTTGATGAAATTAATACCCTATTAATGCCACCTCTTGTTCTGTCTTGTTTTGATGAAATTAATACCCTATTAATGCCACCTCACCCCATCCACCTCACTCAAATGTAGATATAAACAAAATCGGAGATGCGTAAGTTCTATTCAGTTGTGTATTTGTAAACTAAAGTCTTTGAAAATGTAATAAGTTTTATGAAACGCGCTCGTGTCGCGTCAGACTAGAAATAAAAATGAATTTTGGAGAATTGATTTTTGAATTACCTCCAACAGTGAAAAGAAATGTACGAAAGATTGAGAAAATTCGTGTTAGAATTATTAATCTTACTTTTTTGGTCATATTTAATAATATATGTCTACAGGAAAGACTGCTACCAAAATATACTAATATATATATATATATATATATATATATATATATATATATATATATATATATATATATATATAATATATATATAAATATATAAACACAACAATGATCACAAAAACACTGATGTGAAGAACTAAAGAATGCAGAGTGTTTTCGGCTTGATTCGCCTTCATAAGAGTAAGATAGTGTGTCACTGCCGAGAAATTATCCCCCCAATGATTATGTGGTAGAATTTAGAGTAAGATTTGATCAAGCCTCCTAATTTATTGAGCAAGTAAATTATGTACCTCAGTAAAATCACAGCTGCCAGAATTGTTTCAGTAATGTTAATCTGATTAGGGTCTTGAATGGCTATTAAGTTTGACAGCGAATGAGGCTAGTGCTTGCAAGTTATTATTTTGAATATTTATACTATTCTTTAGTAAATGTTGGTATAAGTTTTAAACACTTTCCATGCACCTCTTTTGATCTATGCTGTGCTTTGATCTATGGGAGAGATTTAAAAGATTTTACACTATCATTGAATAAAGGATTGACAAATTTTGCTGTGGAGGAAAATGAGGCTAAGTCATAAGTCAACTAAAGGTGGTGGTCAGGGTAACCCATGTCTGCCTGATCCAATCTTAACACTTTCGCCCGGGCATGATGCAGCATTGCGTCATCCGTTTACTGGCGGTAATTCCGGGGATGACGCAGCATTGCGTCATCCACTTTAAATAATCGCCAAAAATCAGGTTTTTATCCAATTTTTTTGGGACTGGTTTTAAAATGCGCGCCGATGTCTTCCCATTTTCTTTGTTGAGCCTCGTGGCCCTCAGGCAGCTTGGCACATGCCGTGGGCCCATTGTTTTGGCTCCACTGTTGTGACCAATGTCGCCTCCCCTCGCATCTCAAACGTGTGAACATTTCGGCTATTTTCCGTGGCTATATTTCTTACTGCGGCTTTAGAAACTATCTACGCTTACTCCACAATGGATAGTGATCATGAATAAGGCCCTTCCAGGAAGAAAATTGCGAAAGAAAGGCTTGAAAAGGGCGGGAATTGGGAGTGTAGCTGGAAGGCGGCTGAGCACTCACTCGCGGCTAACGTGTGGCCCGTCTTCAACTCGTCGGCGGTTGGAGCGTGACCAGGTTTTTTATTTTATATGCTAATGTTCCTCTAGAGAATTCTATTGCGAACCCATTGAGACCAAAATGAAAGACTTAGGATAAAAATTGAGGTGACCAGAGTGAAAATAGTGAAAACATTTTATCGCGATTGCGCGCTCCTGGGTAACTCGTTCGCACTTTCTCTGTTTGCTGCGGGTAATTAGCCGGGCTTTTGGAGTTTATATGCATTTAGTGCTGTAGAGAATTCTATTGCGAACACAATGATACCAAATTTAATCTCGTAGGACGAGAATTAAGGTGACAAAGTTGAAGAGAGTATACACTTTTCAGAATTTACGCGCACTCCCGTGACACCCTGGGTCCCATATCGCACAGTTGAGGGGTGGCGAGCTGGGTGCACCAAAGTGTTAACAGGTGTTAGATGAGATGTTACTTGTCACCACGGGAAGCCTAAACCAGAATAGGATATACGACATCAGGGTATCCTAGCCTCGTAAATTGTTTGAAAACTTTCTTTGGTGTGATGTTTTAGGAGTCGATTTTCTTGGCACTGGGTGTAGAGGTGTCTTCCTCGATAATTACAGAATGGCAGTGTGACTCAGCGAGTGGCGGCCACGAGTTCCTCTCACCCTACCTTACCACCTTTGGGGAACAGTGTTCCTGATAAGGTGGTAAGGGGAGTCTGGCGGTCCTCGGAGAAGTTTCTGAGGATCTCTGTTTCTGGTGCATATAGGGATAAAGTGCAGACTTCGATTGCGAGGGCAGAGGAGTGTGTTGAAGAGAAGAGACGCCTCTCTCTTCTCCCCACCATTCCCGTAATATGTTGGACCCAAACTGCTTTGTTTTATACTAAAAACGTCACCCTCTCCTGCAGGTGAAGATCAACACTATCCTTGCCCGGTACCTGGCCTCGGGTCACCTGGACCACCTCAAGCACAAGTGGTATGGCGAACTACCGTGCTTCCGAATCTCTGCTGATATCTACAAGCCCCAGGCTCTGGAAATCAGCACGGTGGGGGGGGTGTTCCTTATGCTGACCCTGGGCATCGGTATAGGATTCTTCTTACTGATCCTCGAGCATGTGGTCTACCGCTACGCCCTTCCCTCGCTCAGGACCAAGCCTAAGGAGTCCCTCTGGAGGAACAGAAACTTGATGTTCTTCAGTCAGGTACGCTAGTTTTTGGGAGAAGTAAGATCTCATTTATTTATTTACCTAGATGTATTTATATAGATGAATATCCAGGATCATGCTTCATTTCCTAGGTCTTTCTAATTGTCGGTTGTCTGATGCAAATGACTATACCTCCCATTAATATTCCCCCTTGCTTTTCTTCTGTATTCATTAGCATACTTTATGCATGTTCCCCTTTACTCATTGCCTGTCAAGAGATTATAATTTAGGGTTCTTTAATCTATTTCTCTACAAATAAGGTTCCTTATGTTCAAGGTTTGCTTTGCTGGACTTTTCTGCACAATTTCAATTAAATTTATATCCATTTTATAAAATAACCAAAATTGGACTGCATAATGTTAATGTAACCCCTGCTGTTAAGGTGTGAGATGTGCTGTTGGGCTATAAGTTTCCTAGCTACCTTTTGGGCTAGATTTAGCATGTCATTGAAGAGTCAAACTTCATTCCCAAAATATCATTTATTTATTTATGTGTGTGTGTATTTACACACACACACACACACACACACACACACACACACACACACACACACACACACACACACACACACACACACACACACACACACATGAAGGTACATTGGGATTGTGAGGATACATAGTATAGTAATTACAATCTTGTAAAGCCACTAGTACGCACAGCGTTTCGGGCAGGTCCTTAATCTAAGAAAATTTTATGTATGTAAATACTTGCAAAATGTATAAAAAATGATAAGTTACAAAGCAAGAAAAAAATAAGAGGAGAGAAAATTGTAGGTATATTAAGTACATAGGTAGCTCAGATTGATTGCAATGACAGCTTGAATGGTAGTTTAACAAAAATTAGTAGGCACAATACAGCATATGGCTAGCACATAAAAGAAGACAGCAATGAACACAATGATAAAGTTGTTTGGGTTAAGTACATAAAGGTTGGGAGATTGGGTAACACTAGATACAGAGCAAATTTAAAGCTCAGTGTAGGAAACTACGAAGATGAAATTAGGTACTTTTTGTTTTTGTTTTTAAATGAGGCAAAAGTTTGACAGCTTTTCAATTCACTAGGGAGTGAGTTCCATAGACTAGGTCCCTTAATTTGCATAGAGTGTTTACACAGATTGTTTGACCCAGGGGAAATCAAAGAGATATTTATTTCTGGTGTGGTGATAATGGGTCCTATTACATTTGTCCAGGGAGAGTTTCAGAGCATGGTTTGCTTTTAAGAACAGGGTTTTGTAAATGTAATTGACACTAAGAGAATGTGTGGAGGGAGTTAATATTTAGCAAGTTTAGGGATTTAAACAAGGGAGCTGAGTGTTGTCTGAAAGCAGAGTTATTATTCTGATAGCAGATTTTTGCTGGGTGATGATGGCCTTAAGGTGGTTTGCAGTGGTAGACCCCCATGCACAGATACCATAATTAAGATAAGGGTAGATTAGTGCATAATATAGTGAGAGGAGAGCAGAGTTAGGAACATAATATCTTATTTTAGAGAGTATACCAACTGTCTTAGAGACTTTCTTAGTTATGTGTTGAATGTGGGTGCTGAAGTTGAGTCTCTTGTCTAGGAATAGGCCAAGAAACTTGCCATCATTTTTATTACTGATGTTAATGTTGTCTATCTGTAGCTGAATTGCATTTGATGATTTGCTTCCAAATAAGATGTAGTAAGTCTTTTCTATGTTTAATGTTGTTAGTTAGTTTTCTATGTTAATGTTAATGATCATCTGACCACCTGACCTGAAGTGACATCTCCCCCCCCCTCCCCCCCTCCCCCCCTCCCCCCCCTCCCCCCCTCCCCCCCCCCTCCCCCCCCCCCCCTCCCCCCTCCCCCCTCCCCCCCCCCCCTCCCCCCTCCCCCCTCCCCCCCCTCCCCCCTCGCCCCCCCCTCCCCCTTCCCTCCTCCCCCCCCCCCCCCCCCCTCCCCTCCCCCCCTCCCCCCCTCCCCCCCCCTCCCCTCCCCCCCTCCCCCCCCCCTCCCCTCCCCCCCTCCACAAGGAAAGAATGGAGGTCTTAGGACAAAGCTGCAGTGGCAGGGATACTGAAGGAGATAGGTATGGGAGGGGCTGAAACAGACATAGAAAAGTTTTTCCAGATTGGCCAGTACAACAAAGACCGGTTGATCAAGGTAGTGCTAAAAATAGTGCATCAAAGAGGACATCCTAGCAAAGAAGAGCAAACTGAAATATGTAACGAATTACAGACAGGTATTCCTTCAGAGGGACATGACTAGGAAAGAGAGAATACAGGCAGCAGATGCAACGAAAAGGCACAGGCAGAGGGAAGGGAGCCAGGGAACCTCAGCCCCCAACCCAGCAATCCCAGTGGGGAGTATGGAACCCCAACCCAGCACCTCGGGAACCCCAGATGGGACTGCAACATCCCAACTCACCATTCTATATGTGGGGAGTTCCACCATTCCACCCGAGTACCTCCTTCCCTCCCACCCCCTGGTCTTTCTCCTGCCCCAAGCCGGCCCAGATACGAACTAAGTCCTCCATCCCCTACCCCAGTTCTAAGCCATCCTCTCCCTGCCCCTCCTTTCCCTCCACCCCCACCTCCCTCAGAACCCCTGGTAACTACCCCACAGGAGGATGAGCCTACCCAAGCAGCAATGCCCATGGAACAGCTTCCTGCACTAGTGGGGAGGGTGGGTGAAAATGATATAGGAAAGTGAGCGTCAAGGTAATGTACTCAAACATCGATGGGATTATCAACAAAGCAAGTGAACTGGCAGAAAGGGCGCAGGAAGAAAACCCAGATGTAATAGGACTCGCAGAAACAAAATTGTCAGGAGTCATAGCAAATGCTGTGTTTCCAAAGGACTTTTATATAGTAAGGAAAGAGGGAGACGGGAGAGGAGGAGGACGACGACGATGACGACGAGGACGAGGAGGACGACGACGAGGAGGATGACGACGAGGAGGACGACGAGGAGGACGACGACGACGCCCTGCTGATAAGAAAGGACTGGAGCTTAGAAGAGATGGAAATTCCGGGGCTGCGATGGATTCAGAGATTACATAACAGGAACTATGACAATGGGCGGACCTAAGATAATAGTGGCAGTCATATGCAACCCTCCAGTAAATGACAGAAAACCCAGACAAGAGTTCGACAGAAACATGGCTACCATTAACATAATAGAGAGAGCAGCTTCAGTTGCTTGCAGGAATGGATCCAGACTCTTAATCATGGGCGATTTCAACCATGGAAAGATAGACTGGGAGAATGGGGACCCACATGGAGGTGAAGACACATTGAGATCTAAACTTTTGGAAGTGAGTACAAGGAACTTTCTGAGCAAACATGCCGATGGGCCCACAAGAATGAGAGGAAATGACGAACCAGCTAGACTCGACCTGATTTTCACCTTAAATGACTCGGAAATAAGGGAAGTCAAATATGAAGCCCCCATAAGAATGAGCGACCACAGTGTATTGATAATTGAGTATCTGGTAAAAGTAGGGATAACCTATCTAAGGATGGGATTGGAAGGAAAAAGACTAAATTACCGAAGAGGAAAATATGACGAGATGAGGAACTTCCTAATGGGAATACCATGGGAAACAGATCTCAGAGAAAAGACTGTACAGGATATGATGGATTATGTCACTCAGAAGTGTCAGGAGGCTGCAGACAGGTTTATCCCAGTCCAAAAAGTGAAAAACGAAAAGCAACAGAAGCATCCGTGGTTCAACCAGGAATGTGCGGCAGCAAAGCAATTGAGTAAAAGAACGTGGCGAAACTACAGAAACAACAGAACACCAGAGAGCAGGGAGAGATACCAGAGGGCCAGAAATGAGTACATCAGAGTGAGGAGAGAAGCAGAGAGGCCGTACGAAAATGACATCGCGAGTAAAGCTAAGACCCAACCAAAACTGCTCCACAGCCACATCAGGAGGAAAACAGCAGTGAAGGAACAAGTGATGAAACTGAGAAAAGGGGAGAATAGATACACAGAGAACGACAAAGAGGTGTGTGAAGAACTCAACAAGATATTCCAGGAGGTCTTCACAAGAGAACAAGGAGAGTTCCTTGCACTAAATGAGGAGGTAAACCGAACAGCCTTGGAGGAAATTTACCTCACCAGTGATGAGGTCAAAAAGAATCTTTTGGAGCTGAATGTGTCAAAGGCTGTTGGGCCTGACAGAATCTCACCGTGGATTCTAAAAGAAGGTGCAGAAGCACTAAGTGTGCCACTCTCTATGGTGTATAACAGGTCACTGGAAACGGGAGACCTTCCAGAAAGTTGGAAGACAGCTAATGTAGTCCCAATTTACAAAAAGGGTGACAGGCAAGAGGCACTGAACTACAGGCCAGTCTCCCTAACTTGTATACCATGCAAGGTGTTGGAGAAGATTGTGAGGAAAAGGCTCGTAGAGCATCTGGAGGGAAACCGCTTTGTAACACACCACCAGCATGAGTTCAGAGATGGTAAATCGTGCCTCACAGGCCTAATAGAATTCTATGACCAAGCAACACAAATAAGGCAGGAAAGAGAAGGGTGGGCAGACTGCATTTTCTTGGACTGTCAGAAAGCCTTTGACACAGTACCTCACAAAAGGCTGTTACAAAAATTGGAGCAGTAGGCAGGAGTAAAAGGTAAGGTGCTCCAGTGGATAAGGGAGTATCAAGCAATAGGAAACAGCGAGTAACAGTGAGGGGGGGAGGCATCAGAGTGGCGAGATGTCACCAGCGGGGTTCCACAGGGCTCTGTACTCGGACCCATCCTGTTTCTAGTATATGTAAACGACCTTCCAGAGGGTGTAGACTCATTCCTCTCAATGTTTGCTGATGATGCAAAAATTATGATAAGAATCAAAACAGATGAAGATAGACAGAGACTACAGGACGACCTGGACAAACTGGAGGAATGGTCTAGAAAATGGCTGCTAAAGCTCAACTCAGGAAAGTGTAAAGTAATGAAATTAAGCAAAGGGAGCAAAAGGCTGAACACAAGGTACCATCTGGGAGGTGAAATACTGCAAGAGTCAAATAGAGAGAAAGATCTGGGGGTTGATATTACACCGAACCTGTCCCCAGAGGCCCACATCAAAAGGATATCATCAGCGGCATATGCTAGACTGGCCAATATAAGAACAGCCATTAGAAACTTGCGTAAGGAATCGTTCAGGATCCTGTATACCACTTATGTAAGACCAATCCTGGAGTATGCAGCTCCAGCCTGGAGTCCATACCTAGTTAAACGCAAGATGAAGTTAGAGAAGATTCAGAGGTATGCCACCAGACTGGTCCCGGAACTGAGAGGAATGAGTTATGAGGAAAGGCTAAGGGAGCTGAACCTCACAACCCTGGAAAGTAGAAAAGTAAGGGGAGACATGATAACCACCTACAAAATTCTCGGGGGAATTAACAGGGTGGACAAAGATAAACTCTTTAGCATGGGTGGAACACGAACAAGGGGACACAGGTGGAAACTCGGTACCCAGATGAGCCACAGAGACGTTAGAATTTTTTCAGTGTCAGGGTAGTTAACAAATGGAATGCATTAAGTAGTGTTGTGGTGGAGGCAGACTCCATACACAGTTTCAAATGTAGATATGACAGAGCCCAATAGGCTCAGGAATCTGTACACTAGTTGATTGACAGTTGAGAGGCGGGACCAAAGAGCCAGAGCTCAACCCCCGCAAACACAACTAGGCGAGTACAACTAGGTGAGTACACTGTACAATCATTCCTCTCATTGTTTGCTGATGATGCAAAAATGATGATGAGGATTAAGATGGAGGAAGATAGTATGAAGCTACAAGATGACCTAGACAGACTGATTGAATGGTCCAATAAATGGCTATTAAAGTTCAACCCGAGTAAATGTAAGGTAATGAAACTAGGCATGAAGATGTGCCGAATGATGGGTTATTGATGTATCTTATGATAGTTGTTTGAATTTAAAGACAGCATTCTCAAATACATGTATACAGGTTTTGTTGATGTATCTTACAAGAGTTGCATGAATTTAAAGACAGCATTTTGAAATATACAATTTTTGTATGTATCTTACAGTTGTGTGATTTAAAGACAGCTTTCTTAAATATACAGATGTTGTTGATATATCTTACAATAATTTTATGAGTTTAATTACAGCATTCTAAAATGTACAGATGTTTCTGACGTATCTTACAGAAGTTGTACTAGTTCTGACAGCATTCTGAGAAGTACTGATGTGTTGATGTACCTTCCAGAAACTGTATAAATTCATCAACTGCGTGGAGCTGGTGTCGCCTCATCACTCTGCCAAAGAACTTGTCAACAATCTCCGGACAGGGCAGATCATGGGCCTCTTCCAGAAGTCGGTGAAAAGGGTAAATCCTTTTCCAGGTGTTTCTAAAATGTATTAATCTCCTGGACCATTTTGTGTCAGAATTATATCAATAAATTAAAATACCTTCACCGAACCCTCTCTTCCCTCCCAATCAGATCCCTGTAACCCCTTCCCTGCTCCACCCCAAGCCTCTCATCCCTTCCCCTACCCCAAAAATAAATAATATTTATACGTATAGTATTATATTATTTAGTGAATAACGTATGATATTATCTCATAGTGAGAGAAATGTACAGTAGTAACGTAAAATAATAGTTACTACAAGATACAGTGACACCTCAACTTACGATTGCCTCGATTTACAATTTTTTTACGCTACGATGTAAAGTTGGTCGGAAAATGGGATTGAACTTACGATCGTGTCGTTGACTAATGATATTCGTTGATACGTGTTCTGGTTGACCGAGCGCATGGTTCCTGGTGGCACGGGGTGACCTGCCTCAATTTACCAGAGCCGCCCGCTTAGTGACGATCACTGTTGTAAGAAATTCCATTATTTTTTTTTTTTTTTTTTTTTTTTTTTTTTTAACATAAAAGTAATTATTATATATCATGTCATGGGGTCCTAAGAAAGTTAGTGGTAAGGTTCAACATATGAAAACACATGTAAGGATGACCATAGAGGGAAAACAAGAGATCATTCGTAAACATGAAGATGGTGTGCGGGTTGTTGAACTAGCTAGGCAGTACAACAAATCTCAGTAAATGATATCCGCCATATTTGCTAAGAAAAAGAACATTATGAGTGCTAAAGTGGCAAAAAGCATAACAATAATCACGAAACATAGAACACAAACACTTAAGGATATTGAACAGTTATTATTAATTTGGATACACAGCAAGGAGTTAGCAGGTGATAGCGTTTCAGAGGCCATAATCTGTGAAAAAAAGCAAGGAAATTGCATGAAGATCTTATAAAGATCACGCCTGGAACGAGTGATGCAGATGCGAAAGAGTTAAAGGCAAGCAGAGGATGGTTTGAGAAAATTAGAAAAAGAAGTGGCATTCATAGTGTTGTGAGGCATGGGGATGGTGCCGGCTCTGACAAACCAGTGGCTGAAAGATTTATTTGCGAATTTAAAGATTTTGTGCAGAGTGAGACATACCTACCAGAACACATGTTTGTGACGAGACAGGGCTATTCTGGTAAAGATTGCCGAAGTAGTCATACTTTCCCAAGGAGGAGAAGTCATTGCCTGGACACAAGCCTATGAAAGATAGGTTTACTCTTGTGCTGTGTGGTAATGTGAGTGGTGATTTGAAAATTAAACCCTTGCTTGTGTGTCATTCCAAAAATCCAAGGGTTTTCAAAAAATATAATGTGCAGAAAAACAAAATGTGTGTGATGTGGAGGGCTAATGGCAAGGCATGGGTGATGAGGCAATTTTTTACCGAGTGGGTAAATGAAGTGATTTGCCCTTCCACCAAAATGTATTTGCAGGAGAAAAGTTTGCTACTCAAGGCCCTGCCTCTCCTCGACAATGCTCCTGCCCATCCTCCAGGCTTGGCGGATTCATTGTTGGAGGAATTTAGTTTTGTTACAGTAAAGTTCCTCCCAACACCACTCCTCTACTTTAGCCTATGGACCAGAAAATCATTGCCAATTTTCAGAAACTTTATGAAAGGGCACTTTTCCGGAGATGTGTCGAAGTGATGGATGCCACAAACCTCACTCTCAAAGACTTTTGGAAAAACCATTTTAACATTTGTAGTGCTTTAAAACTCAAAGCCTGGCAAGAAATAACCCTAAGAACCATGATCTCTGGCTGGAGAAAATTGTGGCCTGAATGTGTTAAAGAACGAGACTTTGAGGGGTTTAAACCTGAATCTGAAGTGCCTCTTTTTGTGGAAATTGTTTCTCTGGGCCGGCCATTGGGCTTGGAGTTGGATGGTGCTGATATTGAGGAGTTGGATGGTGCTGATATTGAGGAGTTGGATGGTGCTGATATTGAGGAGTTGGATGGTGCTGATATTGAGGAGTTGGATGGTGCTGTTATTGAGGAGTTGGATGGTGCTGATATTGAGGAGTTGGATGGTGCTGATATTGAGGAGTTGGATGGTGCTGATATTGAGGAGTTGGATGGTGCTGATATTGAGGAGTTGGATGGTGCTGATATTGAGGAGTTGGATGGTGCTGATATTGAGGAGTTGGATGGTGCTGATATTGAGGAGTTGGATGGTGCTGATATTGAGGAGTTGGATGGTGCTGATATTGAGGAGTTGGATGGTGCTGATATTGAGGAGTTGGATGGTGCTGATATTGAGGAGTTGGATGGTGCTGATATTGAGGAGTTGGATGGTGCTGATATTGAGGAGTTGGATGGTGCTGATATTGAGGAGTTGGATGGTGCTGATATTGAGGAGTTGGATGGTGCTGATATTGAGGAGTTGGATGGTGCCGATAATGAGGAGTTGGATGGTGCCGATAATGAGGAGTTGGATGGTGCCGATAATGAGGAGTTGGATGGTGCCGATAATGAGGAGTTGGATGGTGCCGACATTGAGGAGTTGGATGGTGCCGACATTGAGGAGTTGGATGGTGCCGACATTGAGGAGTTGGATGGTGCCGACATTGAGGAGTTGGATGGTGCCGACATTGAGGAGTTGGATGGTGCCGACATTGAGGAGTTGGATGGTGCCGACATTGAGGAGTTGGATGGTGCCGACATTGAGGAGTTGGATGGTGCCGACATTGAGGAGTTGGATGGTGCCGACATTGAGGAGTTGGATGGTGCCGACATTGAGGAGTTGGATGGTGCCGACATTGAGGAGTTGGATGGTGCCGACATTGAGGAGTTGGATGGTGCCGACATTGAGGAGTTGGATGGTGCCGACATTGAGGAGTTGGATGGTGCCGACATTGAGGAGTTGGATGGTGCCGACATTGAGGAGTTGGATGGTGCCGACATTGAGGAGTTGGATGGTGCCGACATTGAGGAGTTGGATGGTGCCGACATTGAGGAGTTGGATGGTGCCGACATTGAGGAGTTGGATGGTGCCGACATTGAGGAGTTGGATGGTGCCGACATTGAGGAGTTGGATGGTGCCGACATTGAGGAGTTGGATGGTGCCGACATTGAGGAGTTGGATGGTGCCGACATTGAGGAGTTGGATGGTGCCGACATTGAGGAGTTGGATGGTGCCGACATTGAGGAGTTGGATGGTGCCGACATTGAGGAGTTGGATGGTGCCGACATTGAGGAGTTGGATGGTGCCGACATTGAGGAGTTGGATGGTGCCGACATTGAGGAGTTGGATGGTGCCGACATTGAGGAGTTGGATGGTGCCGACATTGAGGAGTTGGTGGAGGAACTCGGCGAAGAAACTGACCACCGATGAACTCCAAGCCCTATACAAGGAGCAGCAACAAGAGGCAGCCGAGGAAATTTCTTCAGGGGAGAAGGAGGCAGTACAGAATGTCCCTTCTTCAAAAATTAAGAAAATGTGTGCAGCATGAGAAGAACTGCAAACTTCTGCTGAAATGACTCGCCCAAATAAAGCTGCAGTAGGCCGTTGCCTTAACCTTTTCATTGACACTGATTCATCACTACAGACAAATGTTAAAACAAAGGGAAAAACAAATCTCCATGGAATTTTTTTTAGTGGGACAAGCAGTGAACCACAACCAGGTCCGAGTGGTATACAGGCAAAACATAAGAGAGTGCACCCCAGAGAAGTCATCACTGCCTGATGTTATAATGGAAGGGGACTCTCTTTCCAAACAGTAACACCTCTTCTCCTCCACCTCCTCACCATCTTACATACGCCAACAAGAGTCCTTGATAAAAGTAAGATAAACATATGTACTGTATTTGTAGTTAGAGATAAAATTGTATTCAGTATAAAATGTATTTTTAAGTTAATATTTTTGGGGGTGTAGAACAGATTAATTCAATTCCCATTATTTCTCATGGGAAAATTCGTTTTGACTTACGATCCATCTCTGGGAATGGATTAAAATCGTAAGTCAAGGCCCCACTGTACAGTAATATTTTGATAATAAGGCTGTTCAGAGCTCATAAATAAAGTCCATGCAATAAGTACTTTCGTCTAATATGTCACATCCTTTGCAGAATTAACCGATCTGCTACAAACGCGACATTATTAAAAATTAAAATGGTAATAAAATTAAAGCTGTAATAATAGTAATATAATAGAAATACCAGAAACTAGGGAATATTAAAACATATAGTACTCCCAGTTCTATATAAACATTATTAGTCATTCTCTGGAGTATCTAGTTTTTATGTTTTGCAATTCATGTTATTAATTTAAATACAGTAATAATTTGACAGCATAGTTACCCCATAATCCTCAATGTAACCCAGACACTGGTATTCCTATAAAACTGCCCGTGCATTGGGCAGTTAGATTAGAATTGGGGCACATGGGGTAACTCAGAGATGTACCGAGACTCAATATATGCACCAAGAGGTGTACCCTGCTTCTTGGTGTATATGCACTGAGAGTTTTCTTAAGTGACACCAGGACTAATGTATTCTTACTATTTTCAGGATTACATATTCTTGTTAGTTGATCATTACGCAATTGGGGCCATGTGATCTCAATAACTCTCCGGAAGATGTTAAACCTTAAGTCTAACACCAAACTATAGCTCTTTTGTCCACTGAACAGATGACTAATGTGTGTTGAACAACTAGGGTCAGGATTCATCAAGCATCTATGTATCCACTTATGAAGCCTGTACATCTTTCAAAAATTATAGCGGGTTTGTTTTCATTTATTAAGCAGTTTAAGAATATCAGAACTTCACAATCTAAGGTTATTATTGTTATAAACAGCCTCTTACTCCTTCAAAGCTTATAAACTTTTATATAAATGTAGACAAAGTCACTGTGATTGTTGGAAAATGTATAGGTTTCATAAGATGAAGCATGAATGCTTGATAAATCATGGTCCAGGCTTTGATGCCTGTTTAGAATTGCATTGTAATATTTAACATTATTCTTTGCTGACGCT